GGGGGTTGGGTCAAAAAGTAAAGGCCCAGCCGGTGGGAATCAAGGGTTGCTTGTCCGGTGGGCAAGCAGTCACAAGTGAAGACTTCACACCTCTCAGCTGATGACATGCGTCAGTCTTATATCGAATTAGGCCTACCAGCACTCCTGTACAATTGCAATAGTGTGATTTAGATTCTAGTGCCCAATTACCACCAGTGCTTACATTTCATAGGACCACTGCTTGACCTAGAAATCTAGATATCTAGGCGCTTTTTCGGTAGTTCCCACCCCGCAATTTTATTCACGGGTTTGGGCCACAAGAGTAGGGGGGTTTCACCTAACAAAAATAGGAAGGGGGGTTTCAGGGGGGCATGCCCCCCTGAATTTTACCATAATTTGATGTTTTGCAGTTGTTAGGTTTGATATCTTAGCTCACCGCGAATCAAACGTATAGGTCTAGATCTAGATCTAGATGTAGGTCAGGCTCAAATAAGGGGGGTGGGAACTACCGAAAAAGCACCGATATCTATTTAAAATAGAGAAACGTTTGAACATCTCCTTTGCTTCCCCCTTAGTCTTAGTCGCACCCATCGATATAATGTAAGCACAGTCAACCAATGCCACCCCTCACTGCCATGTAACAACGATTCGAGGAACTCTTTTTTTGGGCTGGCTGTTCGATCAGGACGGCAGGCATTGGTCAAACTAATTTCTGGCCTCTGGCTACCAATGAAAGTTTCTGTGCTGGAGCGCCACTCGAGCACTTTCGCTGGCACTGATGAGATTTCACACCCACACCACCCTGACCCTCAAATTGCACCCATACTCCCCTTCCTCGCACGACAGCATGGCAAGTTTATAGCCGGCAGACGGAACCAAACTTGCGAGTTTTGTTTCAAATCAGAACTGAACGGGTTAAAGCGTTTTCGGTTTTAGACAGAAAACCCTTGGAAGGGTCAGGGGGCGGATTTTTCTTTCCGTTTCCGCATTGGACAGGTTTCCGTTTTGTACAGGTTATTTTAAGAGGAATAAATAAATCTAGGGGGGAGCGGTGAGATTCTGTTAAGACTCGTTTCCGTTTTGCACAGGAGGTTTCCGTTAAGGCAGGTTTGACAGTATTAGATTCTATAATCTAGATCTAGATCTAGGCTATGACATTTGGGGGGAAATTCAAAGCAACTGGGTGGTAAACATCGCTGATCGGCGAGATGTGACCGCAAAGTGTTTTTAAAAAATTATAAAGCCTATTGAGCAATTTCACTTTCACTTAGTTTACAGTTGATCTCTGCCTTTGAATTATATAGTTGGTACTGAAATTGTGCTTCTATAACACCCTTTATAATTTTTTACAGAAATTAATTAGATTCTTTCCTATTTATATAGATCTTGATCTAGTAACTGCTGTGATTCTCTGCTTTGATAGTGATACAAGACTTAACACTTAAAAGGACTCTCCTGTAAAGTAAAGCAAGAAAATGTCTGGACAACCCTATCTAAAATGCACTTTACACAGCTCAACACTCCAACACTTATAGCACTCACTCACTCTATCAATACTTGGGGAATGAAACTAGATCTATCTTTGAAAGCTGCCCTAATTTTCGTCAACACAGCTACAAACTCCCAAATTATGCCAAGGAGGACTACCATACACCCATCTTACACATTATTTTTACACTTGAAATACTTGAAAGAAGAGCAACCGATCACTAACTTACATACACAGTAGTCTTTGCCTAAGCTCCCGGTGCTCGGGAGCGCGGATATGTGGGTTCTTTTAGCGAACGGGATCTTAGCCGACCCACAAATGGAAGAATCTGCGATTGCCCATGTTAAGGCCCACAACCGGTAAAATGGTCTCCCTCACTCTAAAATGAACTGAAGTGACCCCTGGGTGGGTTTATGACCCGGCGAGCACAGAATGGTCAACCTTGATGACCAATCATAGCATGGCATGCCATATAGTGGCATAAGGCATGCCATTTTTTTTCACTTATAAAAATCCTATCGTGAGTCTCAAGGTCTCCGCGTATCCAATTGCACCTCTCCTTTACCTGTCCAAAATTTATAGCTTTCCATGATGATCCATCTCTGAGTTCCCTTGCTTTGTCGTTATAATGCACGTTGTTACCACACCAAGTAAAATTCAGTCTGTCTCACAAATTCGGGAGTAGAGACACATGCAACTGCTGCAATGGTCAGGGAAGAGTTCACATTTCGATGTGATCCCACCTGGAGCGAACTTGTAGGCCCTCCACCCAGAGTTGAGTAAAATAAGTTTAGGTGGAGAGCTCAGATGCGTATGCGGTGTTTAAAGAAAACAAACGCATCGGTCAGTTCACACCGAGGTGTGATCCCATCTGGGACAAACATTGTACTTTTTCACCAGGTTTTACGTCGCACATGTGATCAGATTCATGGGAGTGGCTGATCTTTGACGCGACTGGCAAATCAATGACCTCAACTTTTCACTCTTGGTTGATGGGCTGTGCCCGCCCAGGTTTTTGTTCCGTAAATTATGATCTGAAATGCGGGGTCTTAGCTGAATGTAGACCTTCAGAGTGAATCAGAGCGGGATCTTAGAGGTGACTTTTGTATAGTAAAAATTATGTTTTCTTAAAACAGCGCAGCGGGATCGTAAACGGTGGGATCTTAAGCGGAGACAGACTACTGTATTAGTAAAGCAGGTTCTCTGCTCTAGTTGATTTATTGTTTTTGGGTCGGTCTGCCTAGTGTATGCCATATCTATTCCTTTACAGCAGTTAATTTGTAAAAGACAAGTTTTCATTTTGAATTATAAAAGAAATAAAGTTTCTCAGTCAGTCTAACAAATAAAATTTGTTTTTACTCAGAATTCAAAGTACGAATATGGATGACTTTGAAGATGAACAGTGTGAAGAACGAGACAGAGAGGCTGTTGTGAAAAAGACTCCTATTCGATCTTATGCAGACTTGAGAAGGAAAATCACAGAGTATGACTGTTCTTTATAATTTTAACATTATTCTGAATGTATTGTTTTGGTTAAACTTTGAAAGTTAAAAGATTTATTTAATTAAAAGATTTACCATGCCATGATGACAAGACCAAAGATGACATGGAGGCGAGCGGTACTAGTGGAAATTGAAAAAGTGGGGACATCATGGAAACAGATAGAAAAGGATGCTCAGGACAGGCTTTGCTGGAGTAATGTTGTTGATGGCCTGTGCTCCACTGGGAGTTAAAAAGGGCAAGAGAGAAGAGAGAGAGAGATATCTTCTCTGTACAATTCTCCGAACTGATGATATAGCTTAGAATTTTAAGAATTTCTCCTTGTCTTTTTTTTCTTTGCATGCAGTTATTTACTGATCAGCCTTTAAAAAAAAAATTTAAAAATCAGCAACACATGACTTGATGTTCCGTTATTTCGTGACCAAGCTTTCATTAATATATCATGCTCTTTCTTGTCCAGGAATCATTCAACAGAAAGTCCAAGTTCAGACTTAACTCCAGAAAAGACTTCAGTTGATGATCCACAAAGACATTCAGAATATGATCTGAGAGAGAAACTTAACAGGTGGGTACACGTGTGTGGGCACTTGTTCTTTTTTCAGGTGGCAGGGTTCGTACTGGTCTTGGAAAACTTGAAATTTTGGGAAATTGGCAAAATTCTTCAAAAAGTCTTGGAAAAACAAATTTTTAACAAGATCTATTGTAAAGAGATATATATTCTGCCAAAGTTTAGGAGGCCTTGACGTTACGCATTCTGAATTTTTAAAAATACCTCACCAGAACAAATTTTCTTCCGAAATAACACATTGTCTTGGAAAAAAGAAATCTGGTCTTGAAAACTCTTGGCAAAGTCTTGGGGGAAAATATCTGTTTGGTATGAACCCTGAGGTGGTCATGTGATCTGAATTTTAGGTTGTTATTTAATTTGTTTAATGTTTGCTTCAAAACAATTTTGTTAGGCTTAGGCAAGAGAGGGAAAGGGCTTTCTATTAGGAGTAGTCTTTTTTGTTCGTAAGTTCTGAATTTGAATTCCAATCTTTGATTAGAATTTTGGACCTTTCGTTTTTTAAGATCTATTTTGTCTAACTTTTTTTTTGTTCAAATGGCTCTGAGCCTGTGAAGAGCTTTTAAAATGAAAATGCACGTTTTGAAAGTAAAGTATCTATAGAAGGAAGATAGTAGGTGTTCATTGTTACTTTTTCCTTCCTAAGTAAAACACTTCCAAACATACCATATGGCTCAACTCATTCTGATTCAAGTCAGATTGAGTGAATTCATATGTAAAAATCTAATTTGACCATTGGAGATCATGATGTTCAAATGGATGGTATAATAACTCATGACAAACTGAGTAATGAAATGACAATTAGAACATCAGATACTACATGCCAGAGTAGTTACATTTCCAGAACTTAATACATGTATTTAATTCATGTCTGTATTATTGTCTACATTTTGTGTATTCCCAGTCCAGAAAGTTCTAGCAATGGTATTAACTCTTTATCTCCAAGGGGGGTATACCCACTATGCTGGGGCCCTTTTTTGATGCTAAATCTAAAAGTGACAAAAACGTCATTAAATGGGTCATTAAATCGAAACTAGCAAACCTATTTTAACAGTTCTTCATCTAATGAATGAACTTCCTGTATAAGAGACCTGTTTTTGGCAAGTGCCGAAAAGTAATTTGATGTCGAAGTTGTCGCAAAGGAATGTGCCCGAGCCGCTGTCAGCGGTTCACCGGCACTGTGGTTCCAACCGCGAGCCGCTGGGTGCGGCTTGCCGGAGATACAGGCTTTTTAAGGCAAGCACTAATAGATTTTAGTATTTTTGCTGTTCATGACAAAAGGTATCTTGAGACATGACTTCAGTTACGTTGAAGGGTCATATAAAGAACATGTTTGGAGAATTTTTAAAATTTTCGCAAAAAAAGTGGTTTCGATGGTGGCCATCTTGAATTTTTTATGATTTCACATTTTCTCATTAAAAAAACCAAACTATTCAAGATGTAGCCCTCAGATTTGCAGTGTACATACTTAACAAACTGGGATGTGTCATAATGAAAAGAAAACATGATATTTAAGACTATTTTTTACGTGCACTTTGAAAAAAAACCCAACAAACATACATTAGTTTTTAAAAAACCCTACTTGCACAGCCAAGAATTTTGTCAAATTCAAAGACAGTATGCCCAAAATCTCTTCAAAATGTCATTTAGACACCATTTCTACACTTCCTTGTAAAATATATAAATATTTTGGAAAACTACTTTGTAATTTGAGAAAATCTCAAGTGACCCATGCCGAAAATGTGTTTTTTAATGAATGCAAACGGTGCTGGGAGTTATTTTACCAGATTGAACACTAAATGTCGTTTTCATTGGTATACAGCATGCCAACCTTCTATTCAAAGTAACATATGGTTGCTACAGTGTTTTATAACCCAAAACTAAGGCCTTTTTAGTGATCCTCTATGATCAACCCTAGGCTACAAAAACAGAAAATGTGTATATATGGTGTTTTCTAAGCTTTGGAAACATGGAACATGTAGTATAATGGTCTAACATTATTTCTTGCCAGAAATCTGGAAATCGATTTTTAAATCCAAAAACAAAACAAAATTGTATTAGTGCTTGCCTTAATCGAGCTGGCACCCCAAAATCCTTTTTAAGAGGAAGGCTGAAATGTCCTAGAAAGGCATTGCAAGTTGAAGACAAACAGATCAAACTCTTGACTGAATATTTCCTGAGAAGGCTTTGTATTCACAACTTATTAGTTGAAGTTCCAGGCCTTAATGAATTATATTGTGATTTTATACCAGTCTTTTTTAAAAAAAAGTATCTTCTGGTGTGTCATTTCTATTTCAAATGATTGAAACAGGTTTGTTTGTTTTGTTTTGTTTTTTTTTCCTTTTTTTAAATAGGAAAGGATCACGAGACCAGGAGAGACGAGATGTGACCATGAGAGGTCAGAGATACAGAAGAAAAGAATTCCACTCAAATGTTGCAAGAGGTTCTAGAGTTACCAGCCCTTTGAGAAGTCCCCATGATAATGTAAAGTACAACATTTTGGACATGGATAACAGCAACAGTCACCGGTAAGAATTAAATAAACATTCTTGTCATGTATTTATTTAATGAGCTGGTCATAATTAGGTATTAATTTGAAAGTCTTTCATCTTATGGCCAATGATTGGTACTTTTTCGACATGTTGAGTTGGAAGTATGAAGGGAATTAAAAAGCACAGGTCTTGTAGGTTTTCCAGGTTTAGTATGGTTAACTTGTACTTGCCTGCAGATTTCATAGTTCGATGTGTTTCCAGTGTTCAGCGCTTTTGTGTAAAATTCGTCGCCTGTCACACGAAAGGGCGTATTCCAGATTTTGGCAGTTTTGAGTTGTTACTACTACTAGATAGCGCTGCCTCAGATCTATGTTCACACGAAACGGCGTATACCTAGCTTTAAAATAACAGTACTAGCAGTGAAAAAACGAAAAGGGCGTACGCTAACACTCAACGCGACCGAATCAGACGAAACGGCGTACGCAGGCTTGCGCCCTTTCGTGTGCAAAAAATTGATACAAAGTTGTATCAAATCTATTCGCACGAAAGGACGTATACCTTGGTTACGCCCCTTCGTGTGAACGACCGTTACACTTTTGTCTTTTTTTTCTGGCATAGGCCAAGTCCGTATGACGCAATATAGTAATACTGGCCCTCCTCTAATGATACAATAGGCCTGTACACAGCGCATGCACTGTGTTGCAGCGAATCCTGCTTGTGCAAGAGTGAAAACAAGACCCGCCTTATTGTGTTGTTCCAGTTGCTTACTGGTGCTTGCGGCTTGTTGTCACATACAACCTGTCTTTCAAACTGACCTGCTTACCTTCTGACGATTGGAAACCATTCGAAAAAGCAAACTTGGGTTTGATCAAATTTAAATAAGATCTACTTTTTGTCCGACGATTCACATGAATATTGCTAAGCTATATGTTCTTCCTTTAGCGTATTATGCTACACTCATTAATTAGAAGGCTACGCTATCTAGACACCCCCCTCCCCCACCCCCGGCAGCGTTACTGACTGAAGTGATAAAAGCATCAGGACTTTGCCTTTGTTATATTGATCTGAAGACATGTCTACAAAGTGAGCCCTGTCAGTAGCGCCAGAATCAACAAACACTGAATCCATAACGCACAATGATTTTGAGACCGATGAGACCCAGAGTAGCAACGAACGGCTACCAGAATTATTTGAAGTTGAAGGATCAGCCCGCCAAGCGTCACCAAAGACACGGAAGAGAATCAACAAGAAGAACGATGCAAAAAGAAAGCGACAGTCTGGCGAAGAGTACGTGAGCGCCGGCACGAATAAGGTTGTTCAAGCACGAATGATGAGAAAGGGCTGCGTTGGAATGGAATGTACGAGAGCTGGCCGTCAGTGTTCTGGAATCACAGAAACGGATAGGAGGGAGATATTTCAGGACTTTTATAAACTGGCTGACCTGCAGAAGGAGAGAGAGTTCGTTGCGAGGCATATTGAGACGACTGAGCCCAAGGTCGGGAAACCAAACTCTCGACGCAGCAAAACGCATGCTCACTCTGCAACTCTTTCCGAAAAGGGGACGAAGCTCAGAAAAATGAACTCAGGGAAATTTACAACAGGCACGAAGCAGAAAAACAAAAGGTGCGACAACTTAAGGAGGATTGCAAGAAGATGGCTCAAGCTGACCACAGCATTCTGGCAGGGAACTTTGATCTCCAACAGGTCATATACTTGCCAATTTCACATGAAGATGCTTTGTTCTACAAGAGGAGACTTTCCAATTTCAATTTGACGTTTTATAATTTGGGTGACCACACATGTGATTGCTTCATTTGGCACGAAGGCCAAAGCAGAAGGGGCAGCTCAGAGATATCAACTGCGGTGTGCAGGGCACTGAGAGAATATGACCAAAGAGGCATCAAGACTGCCTACTTGTTCGCCGATGGCTGCCCGGGACAAAATAAAAACACAATCATGCCCACCATGATGCTCCACATGATCAACACTTCAGCACACATGGAGGAACTGTCACTCAGGTACTTTGAATCGTTCCATGGGCAGTGCGAAGGTGACTCAGCACACAGTGCTATAAGCACGGCCTTGGGAAATGCTGGGGATGTGTTTCTCCCATCACAGCTGTTTCCCATCATTGCATTGGCCCGACGCAAACAGCCATACAAGGTACACCCGCTTGAGCACGGTGACTTTCTAAACTACAAAAAACTGTCAGAAGATCTGAAAGTTCTCAACGTCCGCAAGGACAATCAGGATTCAGGTGTTCCCGTGAACTGGAACAAGGTCATGGAAGTGAGGGTGAACAAAGCCCACCCAACAACAATATTTAAAAAAAACCAGTCACCTGGAAGAGCAGTACAGGTCCATTTCGCTGAAGCGCCAACTTTCACACCTAATTCATTGTGAAGTTAAACAACTAAATGAAGAACCAAACCAAATTAGCAAGGAGAAATACGGCGATTTGATGTCTCTGTGCTCTGGGAACACACCCGTCATCCGGAATGCCGAGCACAAAGCTTTCTTCTGTCAACTACCACACAGCGAATGAGATGTCTCACAAAATTCAAGCTGAGAAATACAAACATGTTTGATCAAGGAGAGCCTACCAAAACATGGTGGCATCCATCACTAATTTGTTTTTGTTTTTTAAATAATAGATTTGGAATTGGAACGAAAGGAAACTGCTTGTCTTTCTAAAACGTGATGCCAGTACCTGAGAGTATGTGTGTGTGTGTGTGTGTGTGTGTGTGTGTGTGCGTGCGTGCGTGTGTATATGTGTGAGTGTGTGTGTGTGAGAGAGAGAGAGAAAGATACAGACGGACTGACAGACAGACAGACAGACAGACGAACAGAGAGGTATGGGAAGGAAAAGAGAAAGGGGAAGATTTGGCGGGTGGATGGGGGAGTGAGGAGGAATTTTATCATCTACTGGTCAGTCTGAAGACTGAAATTACTTGTGTGAACACTCAAACACAGGGCGTATACATGGGCGTATACACTGATTTAGGACAGGACGAAACGTCGAACAATCACACGAAAGGGCGTATGCTCACAGATGGCACATTTTCGCAGTGAAATTTTTTTTTAAAGTGCAAAACTAATCTTGCTGATTGTTTGATATCTTATCATGCACACAATATCCAAATATTGCGATGGTAGGATGCAAATTCCTATAATGACAAGGGAAAAGGATAAAGCAACCTAAGTCTGAAAATCTTTAAATCGTTCTCCTGAAAAAGTAAGAAAACAGGGATACGCCCTTTGGTGTGATAGACGACGAATTGTTTCTATTCCAGTAGATGTTAAGAAAGTTTGTATAAAATTATGTTCCTACACAGGTTCACTAGGAATCGCATTGGGGCACCTCAGCAAGATTTTAAACGGCCCTATCATTCAAGGGACTCTCCTCCACCGCGACACCGGAACTCACGGTTTCAGCGAAACAAAGCAACTGTCAGAGAATCCAATTCTGGCGAGAGCGTTCAGTCTACTCCAAGCAGCCATACTGTGTTCTCTGATGAGTCTGAGTCGGATGGGTAATGAGACACTGAGATCCTGTTTATTGATTTTCCTTTTGTTTACTACCATTTTTGTTTTATTTAATGTTAACTTTTCGCTTTTTCCTTTATTGCCTACTATGGTTGCAGTACAATACAACTTGAAAGAAATTGCAATTTCAAGTTAATGATTTAGCAGCATGTATGTTGTAAACACTCTACAATCACACCGTTAAAGCTGCCTAAAGCTGGCTTAAAGTTCAACCATATTTAATATAATTTTTTCTTTATGAATTAGATGCCTGAGAACCAGTTCTTTGCTTAGCCATAGAAATAATATTGTGGCATCAAAGAGGCCTCTTCAAGGCCAGGAAATGTACCCTGTAATGTTAGTGTACTTTGGGTAGAAAGTGGTGGGCATGGCAGAGTGGAAGAGGACATGACTCTCTCTACTTCCTCTACTTTTTGTTTCTCACGGCACTGCCCACTTTCAAGCCGGTGGACCCTTGATAGACATGATCAGAAACGTTGTGATGCTGTAACTGCTACACTCGCAGATTTTTATTTGTGGGGAATGAAATGGAGGGGGAGACATGGACAACTGTTAGCAAAATTTTCATGTGACACTGTAGTGTCACTGTATTTACATCGGTTGCTCAGTGTAGGACTCCCATCATACTTCACTTTTCAAAATGGCATATGGCGGAGTTCTACATAATACGATCAATTTGTAAACAGACTGTATAGGAACACATGAGATCATTGTGAAATAGGTAAGTTTATTGTTAAGTGATTTTCAGTTGGGATGGACGTCTGTTCTACTCACAGGGTCAGACAGCTAATCAGGATCGCCGAAATTTATGTCAGTTTACAATAAATAGAGGAGTTACATTAAGAGAAAGCTGACAAGTAAGAGTGTAGTGGTGCCTCATAAAATCTGCCTAAAAACCTGGTCCGCGCAGGAACCCTTTTTTAAAACTCTTAATGACTTGGTTTTTAAATGGAGCCCATTAAACTTATATTCAGTGGGAGAAATTGTTACTGACAGCATGAAAATGATTGTTTTTTTTCTATTTCACAGTATTTTGTATTCGTAGACATTAAAATTTATGAAAAAGTTATTTGTGTTATGCTGGATAATAATTTTTGTTGTTTTGTTTTTGTTTTTGCTATCAAAATAATTTTTGATGATTATTCACAGACTAATAGTATCTTGTTCTGTTATCATGTTCATTGATGTACCGTGACACCCAATTCTTAGTGCCTAATTTTACATGAATTAAGTTTTATAGGAAGGGTGATGTACACCTTTTTTTACTCATCCTAAGTCCCAAGTTTGAAATCTTATATCAAAGTTTTATCATTGTTAGCAGTGGAAAAAAAAATTACAAAATAAAAGTGGGGGTGGGGTCAAATTTAACTGAATTTTAGATACATATCACTTGTCGGTTGAAACGTTGAATGTTTTTGCCTGTTTTATCCTTTGTCATAATTTCTTTTCTGTGATGACATTTTTATTTTATTGACCACAACATTAACAGGGTGTCACTGTGCCATTAATAGTTGAGTGTTTGATTTTAACTACTGGTTCATGTTATTTTGTTTTATCCTTTTACTTAACAGTACGCCAGTCCTTTCCAGGATCTCACCAAAGCGTTTGAGGATGTCAGGGTAATTTTGTTTTCCTCATATGTAGAAGGTAGAGCTGAGTGAAAATTTTTTCAGGTTTGTTACTGCATTTCCTTAAGCAGGTCCCTCCATCAAGGCTTTTCTTGTAACCACTTTGTTTTTTTTTCAATGTCAGATGACAATGTCAATGACTTGGGAAAAGTGGGGAGATTTGGGGGTGTTTGTCATTCCAAACGAAAAGCATGGTTTTTAGTTTTGGCACTGATGTGAATTTTTAAAATGTTTAGGGTTGATGATCAATTGAACCAAGTGTTGAAAATAACCCGTAGCCTAACCAGTTAAGGACTTAAGGTGGAGTTGATATAGTCCGTAATTTTCAACTAAGTCGCTTGTCTTGTCTACCATAGTGATTTAAGTGTCAACTGTGATCAAGATGTAACTTATGCTGATATTTGTATATTTTATCATGAGTTCCTAAATATTGATTTGTAGCCTTGTTGTGAAGTGCTGATTTTTGTGTTTTTTTAATTTTCAAGCTCTCAGCGTTAGTATATATTTATATACAGGAGCTGAATCGTAAGAGTTTGTTTCATGCGGTAGTATAAAAGTCTCCTGTACACGTGACCTGCTTAGAAGGTTTGACACAAAAAAATTTGTACAATGCACTACCCAGTAAATGAATGTATTTGAACATTTTAGACAGATCTTAATTTATGCAATTTTGCTTACCCTCATAATACTAAGTTATAGAATACTGAACTTGATAAGCAAGTGGTAAAACAAAAGTTTTTCTAAGTAAGCTATTTTGCTCTTATTTTTCAGCTCCAGGCGCCGTTTACAGTTGCCAGCAGAAGATGAAAGTGAGCAGGATGCAGATGAACGTGATTCTGAATCTGAAAATGCTTCCTCCTTGGTCAGAGAAGAGTAAGTGTGTTTGCGATGTATGCCCTTGTACTTGAAGCTTTATTTTTTTATACCTGTTGAAGATGATGCTTTTGTTAATACTAACCAGTCCATCAAAATTAAGGATAGAACTTGTGGATGACTACAGGTCTCCCACAACAAAATGAGTTCATTGAAAGGGCAGCTGTCGACAAATCTCCAGGGTACTTATTGAGTTGGAGACTTCGTTGAAAATGGTTGCGATCACTTTATGATGGCATTTGCCCTATAGAGTTCAAATGTATTTTAAAAGATAAATGGTTCTTCATCAAAAGTTGTCATGGCAGGTTTTCAGGGATTTTTGTACTTTAGTCCTGGACAGCTGTTTTTTTTTTTTTACTTGATAATATGCTGTGATACATTGTATTTGTACTATAATTATTTGTAATGATTTATTTTAATGATATATTCAGTGCTTCCACTCTTCCGTATTTTTACGGAAATCCGTACTTTCTGCCAGTTCCGTGCTTGTTCCTCCATCATGCTCTGCTCCCTCCGTAAATACCTGCGACAGCGTAGGACTGCCGAAATTCCGTAGCAAAAGATCCGTAGGCCTACCCGCCTTCGTACCGTCTTGCATTTATAGTTACGGATATTTACGGTAATTCTCTCGGCAATAAGTTAATGTTATAGAAACCTGCCAGATTGCGCATTTCCTGCAATCGGCCATTATTCCGCTGTGCCCCATGCATTTGTTGTGGTTTGGTCAGCAGTACATTTTTACCTGCAGATTGATCAAAATCTGGAGAACTGTTTGTGCCAATTTCCTCCTTTCTATCATTCACTCCTTTCTTCTGTCTATCTTGGGATTGTTGCCGCGGCTGGAAAATCTGCGTGTTGATCAAGTAAATTGTATTGTGATCTTAGACAGAAAATTACTGTCAGAAAGAACTTTTTTGCTAATTTGTGTAGATCTAGATGTAGAGAAATTGTCTATGCGAAGATTCAACGGCACGGGAACGCGATTAGGGCCGCGATATAAGAAATTTATGCTAAGACTACTAAAATCAAGAATAATTCGAAGTGGTGTTCTGAGGTTGTGACATGCGACATTTTTTGTATGAGTTTTTACGGCGCTCCTGCATAAGATCATATGAGCGCGCTCATGTGACATTTAGACGTGAAAATTAAGAAAAATTAGGGTATACGCTGGGCAACTGTATTGTGAAGGTACATGAATATCTATTCATTATTCCCAGGTTTGCCTTCTATCAATGGTGCAATGGTAAATTAATTGGATTATTATAGTAGCAATGAAAGGGGAACCTGCTTTTAAACATTGCCAGCAATGGAAAGATAATATGTAGGTGAAGAAATCAAACAAGACAAAATGTTGGCGACAAAATAAGTTATGGGTTGTAGGCAATCTTTTCAAAGAAGCTCCCAAGTGCCATTTTCGACCCTCTAAAAGCACTAAATTTCAAATTCTTCGTTGTCCCTGGACCCCCGCCAGAATTTTCCTTACTTTTCAGCTTCAGCTGGTGGAAGCACTGTATATTTTGGTTGACATCACTGTGCTGAATTGTCTCTGGTGTAATGGTTAAGCTCTTGGCTGTGCATACAAAAAATAATAAATGTATTTTATCAAGTCGCTACCCTAAAAATTACAAAATTCTATCTGCTGAGAACATAGTTTTGAGAAATTTGATGGAAAAAAATGTTGTTTCCAAAAAGTCAAACTTTTTCTCATTCATTGCTTTGATTTACCTTGATAATGACTCCGAATAATCTCACGATTTTGATAGAGCATTTGGATTTTGACTTCATGGTCTTAGGAACTCAAAACGGCTAAAAATGTCAGATAGAAATTTATAGTTCTGAGGTAACGAAGTATCTCTATCTTTCTGATGCTATGCAGGGTCGGAGTAGCTCCCCTTCTAAATTATATTAATTGTGACTATGCTCAAAACATTATAGATTGTTTTTCAATCAATATATTATGCCCACGTTACTATGGAGAGATCCTTCTATCATTAATCTAGTGAAGAAGCTGTGTCAGAAGAGAGGTCTCCTGGTTCTTCACACAGAATCGATTTATCGCCGATGTGAGACTGTCTTTTCTCATTGAATTCAAAAATTGTCCACTTTCTGTTTCAGTTGTTTTATGAAAGTTATTTAAAGGCCTCATCAGCATAGATATTTATGTTAGATTTTGTACTTTTTGGCTGATATGTCTAATCATATCTATGTATTCTGTATTTTGATTTTAAAGTTGGTTACCTGCTGGGATTTATTTTTGATATTTGAAAATATTGAATCTTTTCCAGAAGTTGTTTCATGATTTCAGTGTGAACGCAGTGCTCTGGGTTCCATTTTCTGTCTTGCAAATTGAGTTCTGAAATGAAAAAGTGAGCACATAGATGTTTACTGAATATGAGTTTCTCATTTCTTCTCATGACCTGTGAACATGTGTGTGGGGGCTCTCGTGGCCTAGAGGTTAAGGTGTTGGCCTCTTATTCAAAGGTCCCAGGTTCGAATCCGTGTAGCGACCGAAACATTTTCTTCTCTAAAATTGTCTCCTTTCACCTCCTTTCCTGCTCTCTAGCAATGTTCTGTTGTCTGCTTTTATCTCCATTTCCTCCCCTCACCTCCGTTGCCCCCTCCTCTGGGCTCCTGACTCTTTCTGCAGCCTTTCTACTGCTACTCCTTGGCTCCTTACTGCTGTCTTTCCGCCACACCCCTGATCTTCTAGTAAGAAAGGTCTACCCCTAGCCTTCTCAGACGAGGGCAAAAAATTTTGGATGTCCCTTGTGCAAGTTGCGCACGTTAAGATCACTTGGTGGTCTGAAATCTATATGAGTAGGCTGCGGCCGCGTAAAAAATTTTTTTCTACCTACTGAAAATGTTTAATGTGTCCCGTGCGTTCATATGACCTAATGCAGTTGCGAGTGCCGTAAAAACACTTACCATAAGAAAAAGAAAAAAACGTGTGTGCTCACTTTTTTATTTCAGCGTGGTTAAATCCTGAGCACAGGCTCAAAGTGTTATTTATTGATGCCCAAACAATTTTTTATCATCCTCACCCCTCCTTTCCCCTCAATATATGTATTAATTTATATCTTTAGATCCTTGTTACATTTGAATTGCTCATATAAAAATACAAAAGCATAAAAGGAAATACTGTTAGAAATCACGATTAATGAGGTTTGAGTTCTTATCGAATTTTTGTTTGTTTCTATCACTTTTAGATATTTTCAGCACAAATCATTTGTAGTTTAAAAGCCATGACTTCTACTATGAGAAAAAGCCAAACTAGAACTTGTTGGTGGTTGGCGGGTGCTCTGGTATGGTTTGCTTCTTCTTTCCTATCAAACATCTATCGTCCTTATCTCCCTTTTTTCTTTTTTATGTTTGTTACTATCTTGTAACACCTCTAATCTTCTGACGCTCATATGACCTTATGCAGTTGCGAATGCGTAAAACCTCTACTAAAACTTTTTTTAAAATAAGAAAAGAACTTTCGTTTCGTATGCTTTTATAAGTGTGGGTTCAAAATTACAACTCCCCTAAAATCAGGGTCGTATTTTGGTAAAAGAAACAAAACTGACAACTGGCATGTTTTTTTTTGTCTTTTGTTTGTAATACACATTGTCACTAGTAATATCTGTTTCGAAAATCCTACAAGTTGTGTCCATTAAAAGTAAAGGTATATCAATGGTGTTATTCCCTAACATCTGATTTCTTTGAATTTTTCTGCAGGCAAAAAAATCCTCAAAATTTTTAGATTCAGATGAGAGAAAACATAGCTTAGCTCATCTTGCTTTTTTACCATTTTATTTGCATACTGACTCCTGGTTTTTATTGGGGACCATCAAATCAAGCCTGAAAGTGGGCCAACAATTCTGAAGTTGAAAAATAGAAAAGGTAGTAGAGATACATGTACAGTATAACACAGATAGGTTGAACACAGAAGACTGGAGATGTCGCCTCCGTTGAACTGTGCCTGCGTTCTTGTTTTTTCTTTTTCTTTATCTTTGTAAGATATTGATATCTTATCTCTCGAACTTAGGCCGGTCCCAACGAATTCAAGCTATCCGTGTTATCTCCTGTATATTTATTATTTCTGGTCCATAATTCATGTTGAACCTTACTCTATATTTTTCATTTAGATGTATTGAAACTAGATTTTGACAATTGTACATAGTGTTGCTGAAGTCTAGCATGACAGGTGGACAGTCCTTTATTTTAGTCTTTTTCACTCTTTTTCAGAGATGAAGCTCGACTTGCAAGAAAAGAAAAAGATGTCCAGTATGGAAAAAACACAGATGCATACAAGTTGTACACAGAAGTTGTGCCCAAGTATGTGTAATGGGATATTTTTTTTCAGCCCAGCTTACTTTTTCTTTTTTTAAAATCTTAATTAAAAAAGAAAAATTAAAGATGATGAAGCTAGCTGAAAGAGCGTAATAAAACATCACCAGACTTATGTTCCAATTTTTGGGTTTGTAAAGTTTTTGCGAAGTTCTTCATGTGAGGTTTTTTTTTCATCCTCTACCTCTCAGAATATGCCTTTTATTGTCACGTGCCTCTGAAATGTTTTAGTGTTGTTTCGTCTCTTAAAGGGTTTTAAAACTTAACTTTTCACTCAGTTTGAATATTTTTTATATATTAATCTTTTCAAAAAAGTGTCTTGAGATATAGTGAAGTCCGCTTAAGGGGAGGAGCGGGGGACAGAACCGACTGTAAATCTCTATTTTTTATATTTGCTGCTTCTCCGTAACCATTTAAATTTGGTAAAAGGCTCAAATTCCACCAGCTAACTGAAAACGCGGCTAAACCAAAAGAAATCAGGCAGCCCAGCAGATTTCAGTATAAGCTGACACTGCATTTTATTAGGGTCTTTTTCTACTTTTTATAGACACACTTCTTTACTAGCATGTAAATACTGAGACAGTTTGTCCGATTGTTGTCAAGGCTAGTAAGTTGTTTTTACAGTGCAACGCTTTGCTTGCTTTGACTTCATCAGGTATAAGATTAGGTCTATATATGACTTTGTATTGCTTGCTTTCTGAGTACCAATGTTGTGGGCAGTAACACTGTCCTCAAGCCTAACTTATAGAAGAGGCAGTTGCCTCCCCTTTATGTGTCAGCTCTTTGCATGTTTATTTGCCAAAATATCTTAAAAAGGAGACATTTTTGAGATAACCAACTTTTCATGTGCTGCTGAAATAATTTTGAGTAAATTTTGCTGATTAAAGAGGTTAACTGAGATATTCTGATGGACTCTTTAAACCTTCAATCCCATTTGGTTGCCCCACAAGGTCAAATTTAGGTCTCAGGCCCACAAAATGATGTAATCCAGTGTATCAAATTTCTTACCTTACTTAAGCACAACATTAAGAATTGTTGTGCCTATTACTATTGGTAAACATGTACAGTCGAGTCCATTTACACCGAACAGGGTCAGTTTGAAAACAGTGGTAGACCATAGGGAAATAAAATATTTGAGAAACATAACCAAAAGAAAATCTTATCATCCTGCATAATAAAGTTTTAATAGGTAGACATAACAGGAAGAAATTATAACCAAGGAAAATCCTGTTCTATTTTCAGAAATTAAGACCTTTCACAACTGCAATTTTCCTTCTACAAATATGTAATTAGGAGCACCAAACACTTACTATATGTAAGATAAGCGCAAAAAATCTCTGAGGTGCTGTGTGCAAATTGCGCACATTAAAGATATCTTGGTGGTCCTAAAATCAATAAGAGTAGGCTTTGGTCGCCACTCAGGCAAAATTCAGAATTCCTACCAGCTTAAAATGTTTAATGTGCCCAGAGCACTCATATGACCTTATGTAGTTGCGAGCACAGTAAAACACTTACCGAAACAATAAACACCTTCTAAAAAGCTTGTGAACTTTTAAATAGACTGAAAAGACCAATTTTGAGAAATCATAATTATAACACATGCACCTAAAAGTTGTAACTTTTCAAGAAAATTGAAGGAAAAAACCTTGCTTGTCTGGGTTGTATTACTTGGTGCAAATGGTGGTACTGAATATATCGCCAATAGGTAGTTTAGCGTCAGCGTTCATACAAATGGCGATCATTACCCTGTTCAGATCTATTTTAGCCAATTTTCTACTCACAATGCAGGTTTGGGACACCGTTCAATGTGTTCCGGACATATTTTCGGCTTTAAAATTTATAAAACAAATAGAGAAATTTACTTGAAAAGTTGCCCATGTGTCCGGTCTAGTACTGGCCTCGGTGGTGAGCTAGGTATATAGAGACGCAAAGCCTGTTCAGTAGCATATATATATATAAATTATTTTTCTTCCTTGTTCCCAGAGCATCTCGCTCCAGGAATAAAAAGTATCATCCCCGAACCCCGGAGAAACGGATAAAATGCAGTCGCCGGTCCTGGGATTCGCAAATCAAGATCTGGAAGCGTCGTCTTCACACATGGGCAGAGGCACACAGGACCTCTCACAAGTAAGTGTGGCGCCTTGGCTGATAGGGTAGCACTGGGAGAATATTCTACAGAACTTAATACCAGCACATTTTGCTGGAAAAAAATGGTGTTTGCTTCCTTTGTAAGTGAGTTGTGTCATTCTTTTAAAATTTATTGCCTTGCCCTTTATTGGGTCATCGACGGTTCATTGATGTTTTAAGATGCTCCTTCTTTCCTATCAAACATCTATCGTCCTTATCTCTCCTTTTTTGTGTACGTTACTCTCTTGTAACATATCTATTCTTCTGCACTTTTATGACCTTATTGTGCCGTAAAACTTTTACTAAAACTAAACTTTCCTCTTTTACTAGTTTTTTTGGTTCAAAAATTCATTAAGGCATTGTATGAATGAACGGTGTCCGGGGTTTTCCTCACTCTTTAAATTTTTTTTTTAAAAGGCAAAGAGGGGAAAAACCTGGTTGTTGCCACTGGGAAACTGTTTTAGACACAGTGTCACTTTTCCCACAGATGATGTGTTTAGTTTCGTCGTGGTGATTTCTTCTGCGATTTGACATAAAATCAAGGCGGAATGGAATTGTCCCTTTTCAGACCTGAAGAATCAAAAACGAGAAAATTCTAAGCCTGTGTGATTGTGCTGTAAAAGTTCAGTGTGTATCGTTTTGTTCTCTTTGTTTTCTTTTCATCTCTCATGCTCTATGGAGATAAGGAGGATGGAGTTGTTTTAGGATTCAAGACTGAATAGTTACTGAGTGTTCAAACTGATTTGTCCTTTGTCTGATGGAACACTGTTCTCTCAATTCATTAATGATATTCCTGTTTATACATTATTAAATGAGCTGAGATAATTCGGACTGACTCTGTCTCTCTCTGTCTCTGTCTCTCCCTCCCTCCCTCCCTCCCTCCCTCCCTCCCTCCCTCCCTCCCTCTCTCTCTCTCTCTCTCTCTCTCTCTCTCTCTCTCTCTCTCTCTCTGTGTTCTGTGCTCCAGTTTGGCCAAATTTTCATTCTGCTAATATAACATTTTTTCCAGACTTAGTAGCTTGTAAATATGATAGAGACAACTGTATAATTTCTTTCTTCTTACTGTTGTCATAAAACTCATCTGATTTCAAAGGTGCTTTCACTGCAAATCCAAGGAAAGTATAGTTTGCCCACGGTTGTTATATTCTAGGTTTTTGTACTAAGAATATTTGTCTTGTACACAGAAAGTGCTTGCAGGAGAGTAATTGAAAAGGCTCCTCCGTCATGGATTGATAAGAGGAAATGGCATACTTGGGGGGGGGGAAGACACGACATTATAGAGGGAGCAGACTTCTGTTGGTTTTTTCCAATTATATGTTTTCCTTTTCTCGACCCTATGGGGCCATCTACTTGTTGTGGTTTATACCTTTATTTATCCAACAGTATTTGAATTTGACAATTTAATTTCGGTTATTGGTACTCATTGCTGATGCTGTTGACTTTCTACAAAAATTTTATCTTTAATCCTTTGCTGCTTTTTTTACAGTGCCGTTGAGGAGGAGGGTTCCTCTCACAGCTTGGCTTCCAGTGCTGGGGATGACCGGGTACCGCAAGCGCAAAAAGCTACTGAAGCAGCCGACGATGATCTAGTACCACAAGCCCGAGAACCTATTGAAGCAGCCGAGGATGATTATTTGGATTTGGATGAAGACGATTTTCTGGACAGTGCCAATCTTAATCTTGACGTAACTGAAATTGAAGAGAAGATCAAAATTAATGACCAAGCTTGATACGTGCTATGAGAACTTTTTATGCATGTACATTGTTTCACATTAATCCAGCATGTTATTTTCCTGGTTGCACTTTACGGAGATGTGACCATGAATTGAATACAACAATTGTAACATAGTCTTCCAATCATTGCCAGTTGATGGCACTTGCTCTCGTGTGGTAGATTCGATAGAAGCAAAACTGGTCCATCATAACTGATAGAACCCCTTCCAACCTCTGTCAACAGTACTGGAAAATTTATACAAATCATACGGTAATGCACCAATTTCTTAAATTCCTACCAACATTTGTTCTGCTCTGTTTTTCTGTTTACTCATGAAAAAAACATTCATAAATTTCTCTCTTGAGACAATTTCATTGACTTGATCTTGAAGGATGCTCTTAAAGTATATTTGGAATAATCAAGGGCTGTAAGTTAAAACGAACAAATCTGTTACTGGTTATATGAATTTAGAAAGAAATTAGTATTGTGTGTAACTGTTTGAAGAGAGGTGCAGACCAATTTTTTTCCTCCATCTTCTGAAGGCAGCTAAATTCTCATCTTCAGTGTTTTTTAGACATTATTTGTATTCATTTTGTATAATATTATATACTCTGTTGTTTTCATATACTAGAACAGTCACCACAGATCTTCTCAAGACTTACTGTATGTTGTTTGATTAGCAGAGATGTGCTGGGGGGGGGGGGGGGGGCAGCTGAGGGCTATCTTGCTTATTAGTGTTTCAAATGTTACCAAATTTCACACATATAACAAGCATAGTAAGGAGTCTTAAAATCCGCAATCAGATTTGAGATAAAAGTTTTATATGGTGGCCATATTGGATTTTGTTGACATGTCTTACATAATTAATACCTCACTTTTTTTTTCGTGGGAAGAAATTGGTTTTTTGCATGCGTCTTGGCAAACATTAGATATACAAATTTGTCTTATGAATTTTTCCTAAACATACTGGAAATTTTTTAATGAATTTTTTCCTGAGGTATTCACGTTTACAAAAAATCCGTGAAAATCCACTCCAAACACCACCATCAAAAGTATATAGAAAAGCCACGTTTTGAGAAAACGGATGATAAAGAAAGAGAAAAGATTGACTTTATTAGGAAATGGTGGTGACAAACACATGCCCGGTACAGGAAGAAATAAGGTTTTAGGGGTTTTTTATGTGATCAAATAGTTGTAGGAGAGGCTTAAAGAAGCTAAAAATGCCTACAACTTAAAATCCATAGTGTTTAGATCACTTTTCCCTGGCATGAGTCATAGAAAGCATCAGGGTTTTTGAATACCCAAACCCCTCAAGAAAATATCCTCTTTTTCTTCTCGAGGGGGGGGGGGTGTCCTATCTTTCTTTTGCTGCTCCGTTTGCCTTCTTCTTTTTTTTGAAAGGGAGAGAGGGGCATCCCATTTCCTGTTGAGAGTACATCAGTGCTGTTTCTGAAAGTGAAAAGGAGAGGGGTTGCTGGCATTGAAGCTTTTGTAACATAAGCTGGAGTTTGTTGGGTTTTTTTTTAATAGATTTAATTAAAGCAATATATTTCTGAGATATATTATACGATTTATTTGATTCACATTATACATGCACTTTTCAAAAGTAGTTTATATATTACATCTGTTTGATAGCAAGTACTATTTATTGTGTTCACATTGTGTGGCTTCTGTTGATTTTAGTAACTACTTTAAACAAGACAAATTTTTCCCACAGAACTAATGTTATACATATGTACAGATTAATATTGTGCACTTTATATTTTATTAAGTAACCATGGATTATCTGTTGTCTTTATATTTCTTAACATAAATGAAACAAAAAATGTACTTTTGCCATAAGATGTAATTTCAGTGAAAATTGTTGCCCTTAAATTGGATTGGACCTTGAGATCTTTTACGTCCCATCGCAGCATAACATAATTTCCAAAGTAATACTGACTTATGTTAAAACAGAAACACACTGACTCGATAATAAACTTTTCAACTGGGCAAAAGTGAGGCAACTCAAAAATTGTGCAGTGATATAAAAATGAATAGGATACTCCCATGGTCACTGCTTATCTCCTACAACTGAACACACATGACCGTCATGTTTTTTTCAACTGGAGGCACTTGTTATATCATTAATGTTGACCTGAGGCTGTAGTTTATTTATGAGTGCATGCACATCTGTTTGTACATAAAATGTTTTTTCACCTCTGTATTTTGTAAGTGTTTATTCATTAAAAAAAAGATGTTTTGTTTCAGTTACGTTCGTATATGTGCATATGACCATGCTTCAATAAATAACTTTAATTAATTATTAATTTTTGGCTTTGGTTTATCTATATTGCAATGCATTATAGAAAACTACAACAAAAGCTGTCTGTCATGAGCTCTGTGGGGGAAGTCTCTGTGATATCCCAACATGTCTTCTTGAGGGAAAGGGTCTGCTGTGTCCCCAGATCTCAATGGGTATCTCGGCAATAGATTCTCTACCTTGCAGTGGAACTAGTTGCTTTACATACTCATCCCATCTTTTTCCTGTAATTTTCTTAAGAAATCTTGATGTAGCCTACATAAATCACAACAATTTCTGATGGGTACAAGATATCCATTACCATAGTTTTCTAATGACGGGCACATTTTTGTGATCTTTTTTTAAGTTAGCAAAAAGAATTAGCAGTAACTACAACTCAAAATCTTTCAGTTTCACTTTCTTACCCATTATTGCTTTTTTCATGTAGGGAAGACAAAAGGGGTGTAATTAAATTCTAATCCTTAGCAGAGGCTTTGTATTTTGAGTTGTATGAAATAATAATTGTCAACTTTGATTTTTGGAAACCACTGATTTAGAATTTTCCTGATTCAATGAGGTGTGCTCTTTTTTGTACTTTCAGTTTCTGTGACCAAAGTGCCTTCATACTCGCATACAGAATCACTGAGAATCTCCTAGTTTTTATTTATTCTTTTTTTAATGTTCTGTGGGCTCAAATGTGAACTTGATGACCTGGTGAACACAGAAGAGCCAAAATTATGACAGCCACATAAACCGTTCTTGAAGGTAGATGAAATATGTAGATTCTAGGCCTACATGTACTTGAAAGTATGTTTGCTGTCCTGTTCTTCTTTGCTTTTGGGACGGCATTAATTCAGGGTTTCATAAGAGGGTTTGCTCTTTTACTTTCACTTTCAGCAACTGATGTGCCTCTATACTCACTCTAGAAGGTGGCTGGCAGGTGCTCTGGTTTGGTTTGCTTTTTCTCCTTTCCTGTCGACAAACATCTATTGTCCTTAAATCTATCCTCCATTTTTTTGTTGGCTACTTTCTTGTCAGTCTTGTAACACCTCTAATCTTCTTATGATCTCATTGTGAAGCAAGTGCCCATAACTTACTTAACCCTATACATACGTCGTGTTTTACCATGGTATCCATACGATGTGGGCAACTCTGTGCCACCACTATCCAAAGAGGAAATTTACTCGTTGATCCGTACGCTTTGCATAGCAGTCTATAAAAATGATTTTTTGAGAAATACTGAAAAGTTCAAAGAGATCTTCGTACTAAAAGTATTTTCAAATGTGAAGAATGCCACCCCGGTGGTACAAAATGACCCCAGGGCGTACGGATAGGGTTAAACAAAACACTACACTAAGAACTTTCTAGTTTTTACAGGATTTCAATTCTTTGAAGGTTCAGGCCTTGTCTTCACATGCCTAAGTCGACAATGGTCTGTACAAAGTCCATCAGCACAAACAGATCTCAAAGACTTCTCTTGGCATGCTTTTCAAACTGTTGTATTCCAGACAGCACAAACACCCCCCCGGAAATAGACACTATTTGGAGATGTCTCTCTTTAACAATATGTGTGCATATTTATGTATACATAGGCTACATGAAAACTCCCAATCTTTTTTATTACTCTGAGTAGAGCAGGATCAAACAAAACACACTTTTGGGGGGGGGGGGCAACAATTTATTTACACACAGAAATACTTTTATAAGAGAATATATTATATAGCGTTTTTTGTTATAAAGTGGATGGTTAGTACTAGATATCTGAATGAAACTTCTTGGGGGGGGGGGGGTAAATGGCAAATTACCCTCAGTATTAGTACCTGTACCAGGTTGGCTACTTAACTTTCAGTGCATTTTTAAAACTTTGTACATTATTGGTTGGTATTTTTTTTACTGAAACTAGTTCCTAAATGGGAAAAGTTGTCACAGTAACTTACTAAAATCACCAAAAATTTCATTATCTCTTGTTCTTTTATTCACTGAAGGAGAAATAAAACGTTTGTTCCTACTAGTACAAGTATATGAGGTTGAATGTGCCCGCCGCCCTTAAAAAAAAAAAAATCCTCCCCGTTTATTAGTTTTGGACCACTTGTCCATCCTCCCCCTCCCTTTGAGTATTTTATGTCTCAGCATTGTCAACTACAATTACACCTGAAAAATGTAGGTGGTTGATGCTTTGGTCTTGTTTTGCCTCTTCTTTCCTATCCAACCTCTCTGTGTCTCTCCCCTTTTTGTACATATGTATTTGTTACCATCACTCTCTTGTAACCCCTTTAATCTTTGGCACTTATATGGCCTAATTGTTTTGCAAGTGCCGTAAAATCCTTACTTACTTAAACCCTTCCTCCAAAAATGTGGAAATGGCCATTGTCAATGTGTTTTACTCTGCACCTATGACATCATGCTGTGTCTTCATATTGAAAGATATGTAGAGTTATAGCTTTATTTTATTCTCTCTCTCTCTCCCCCCCCTCTCTCTCTCTCTCTCTCTCTCTCTCTCTCTCTCTCTCTCTCTCTATCCGTTATCACGCCACCCCTTCTCTCTCACACACATACACACGCACGCATGTACTCACATTGGTCTGGATTGTTTTATGTGACATAAAGTACTAATTTGACTGCGCATAATGGTAAGACATGTGCCTACCATGTACACTTTAGAAAACAAGGTACATGTAATACGACCTTGTGGAACCCGAACACAGAATTCAGTTGACTGACAGTAGCGACAGTGAATTTTGCTCCGATTGCAAGTGCTGAAGGAGAGCTCAGAGAGAGGTGGGTGGATGGGGTGTGGTGGAGGGGATAACGTGGCCGTGCGGCCCCACTATGCCGTACACACACAATGAATATAATACATGTATCTAGTGCGACTTCCTCTTTTCTCCGTATTCGTAACACTTACCTGTCGTTACATTTTTATTCTTCGATCTCGAAAACAAATGTTCACGGTACATGAAGTGTCGAAGGCTAACACCGAAGATTTAAAACGCCGAGTACTTAAATTTAACGGAGCTGGCGATAACAGCCCGCTTCTCAAGGGCAAGAGGATAAAATTTTTACTTTGGAGAACCTTTAAAAAAACCACGTTGTCACCCTCGGTAAAACAGCAGCTGTTTGCTCTTTCATTTGGTTGTGGCCACCAGCGCGTGTATATTATGAAGGCCTAAATGTAAGTACTTGTAGTGGGTGGTTGGAGGGCGCTCTGGTGTGGTTTGCTTTTTCTTTCCTATCAAACATCTATCATCCTTTTCTCCCATTCTTCTTTTTTATGTTTGTTACTCTCTTGTACCAGTACACCTCTGATCTTCTGGCGCTCACATGTCCTTATGCAGTTGCGAGCGCCGTAAAACCTATACTAAAAAACGAAGTACTTGTAGTTATCAACTCTACCGCCACAGCTGCAGGCAGTGTGATAATAATAATAATAATAATATACAAATTATGTAGGATGTAGTAGATCATGCACACTAGACTATGTATTATGCACCGTTGTTACAAATATTATTGTGGGTGGTTGGCTGGTGCTCTGGTGTGGTTTGCTTCTTCTTTCCAATCGGACATCTATGATCTATCGTCCTTATATATCTCCCCTTCTTTTTTATGTTTGTTACTCTCTTGTGACACCTCTAATCATCTGGCGCTCATATTACCTTATGCAGTTGCGAGCGCCGTAAAACCTCTAGATCTACTAAAACTAAACTAAACAAATATTATTCCACGTTGTGATCTGTTCGATACTGGATTTGAGAAGAAAAAGAGACTCGCGCGAAGTGAGTGAACTGCGACGAGTAACAACATAACAAAACACATCGCTGACAAACAGACCAATGTACGCATATAGAAACATCGACCAGGAACGGATTAACATAGTATTTTCGTGCATTTCAAAATCGATATCATTCAATTCATTCCTCACATCGTAGGCATTCTAGATATTATAATATCATAATATAAACTTTGGTAGGCCTAAATTATAGGTCAAAGGTAGATTATGTGCTGTCATCAAAATGACATTTATTTAGGCCGAGGTGGGTTGGCGCCTTTACCCAGTCTCCTCACTATACAGTTTGGATGCTCGGGCAAAAAATATAAAACTGCATGTTTACAACTTATTGTTATTTAAATTCGACCCCATGTGTCGATTCTGACGTCATATATTTGCGATGACGCACTTCCGATTTTCAACCAATGACTGCGGTGGTCCCTGACCTCGTTGTATTTTTGCCCTGTTCTGATTGGCTGAACTCGAGGCATGTGTACGTCAAAAACATCAGTGCTTTCGTCGAGGGGAGTTTGTGTAACTTCGAAGCCGAATTTAACTAGCGAGCACATGGGAGTTGCTCTCATACACCAGTGAGTAGTCGACGCCGCTCACACAACCGTGTGTACTCCTCTGTTATACCGGCACTGGACGTTTTCAACGCAGTTATTAGTGGATTTATCTTTCTATAAAAAGATTCTGTTAGTGACAGGCCTTCCAAGTAACCTTTCATTTGTGGCAGTACGGTAGGTAAAATGATATTATATGGTATATTATTCAATCTGCGAGTTTTTAAGTCCCGGAGTTGTGTGTCACATGCTATAATAGCCATTTGAATGAATTCGTACTATAAATTACGTATATATGTATTTGGAACTATGATTTTCTGTGCTAATGGTAGATCCACGAAAGCAATTGTTATGTGGGCTGTCCAAATGATAGCAAAGCAAGTGCTCGCGAATTTAAAAAAAAAAAATTTCTTTATTTTTTATTTATTTGTTTATTTATTAATGTATTTATTCTTGTTTAGAGGAGAGGTGCAGATTACATCTTTGATCAAACAAATTGAATTTTAAAAATTGAATGTTATTGTCACTAGATCTATAGTCACATGAAGAACGAGGGATATACTAGGCTTTTTTGCTTACATAATAATATAGTCTTTGTATGTTTAGGCTTGAGGCTTTCAAAGTTTGTGCGTATCTTTGGTTCTAAGATTAATGTGTGAACACACACTATTTCATAAAAAGTGTGTTAATCTTCTGTATGCATTTACATTATGTGCGAAGATCTAAGTGTGTGCTTTTAAACCTCTATAATCTTTAGGCGAAACCATGAAAGGATGATGATGCTTTTTTTAATACCAACTGTTAATGTAAATTCAGGCTCTTTAGTTAAGTAAGGGTTTTGTGGCGCTTGCAACTGCGCAAGGTCTCAGGTTCTGGAACAATCACAAAAATTTGTTGAACGTAGATATATGTCCCCTTATTGTCATTTTTTGTCTGCATGACTTAGGCTACCAAAAAGATTGACTTATAATTATAGGCACACGGTACAGACTAAAGTTATTTCAATATAAATCTTTCAACAAATCTGTGTGCATGAGTTAACAACTTGTGCTGTGTACGTGTGTGTGTTTATGCTTGCATTTTATGTGAAACATGTGACAAAGTTAGGAGGAGAAAAAGAGAAAGGGGGAGGGGTAGGAGGGGGTTCTAATGGCAGTCACTGAGAGGTTTATTTGCTATCACATTAGAAATATAAGCGTTGGTATGTTTCACTTTCAAGGAATTAATAGGCTACTTTATAGACTGTAATGATTTTTTACCCCCTCCACCCGTTCGTCGTC